AAATTCTGGGGGTGGGGCCCAGCAATGTGTGTTTTAACAACCTCCGAGGTGATTATGATGCATGCTAGTTTAAGAACCACTACCTTCGTTTTGGCATAATGATCATATTCAAACTCCATCATTAATGGGGCTAAAATAAGGAGCTGACTCAGTGACTTAAATAGTACCCTATCTGACATACGTCCTCTATACATATAAGAAAAACTAAGTGTATAATTTATGGTCAAAAATACTCTGGGACATAATCTTCGTGTACAAACCTGAGGCTTGTTTTGAAACTAGTGAACATCAAAAGCAGGTTGTTACCCACAAGGTGTATAATAAGGCAATAATCAGTTTGCCTTAAATAGTCCTGGTTTACACCTAGTATAATTATTCTCTGTACCTTCTTCTTCTCTCAAAAAGTTCCCACTGTGGACAATAAATTATGGTCCAAATATCACCCACTCTATTAATAAAAAACAAGGCAGTGAAATGTGTTAATGATTCCTGGAAAATTTTCATTATTCCACTAAAAATTCTCATCACTTCTTCATTTAACAAAAGTAATTTGTAAAGATATTCTTAGATATTACTTTTAATAAACTCCAAAACAATCTGAATACAAAATTGTAGTAGAACAAGTTTCTTTCCTGGAACCCATACACATGGCAACTGCAATGCAGTCAAATCAGGAGATGTGTTGCATGCCACACGTCCTATAGAGCCAGTGGTCCCCTTTTTGGCACCAGGGACTGGTGCTCCTGAGAATCTAATGCCTGATGACCTGAGGTGGAGCTGAGGCGGTGATGCTAGTGCCAGGGAGCAGATGCAAACACAGATGAAGCTTTGCTGGCTTGCCCGCCACTCACCTCCTGCTGTGCGGCCCAGTTCCTAACCAGTCTGGGGGCTAGGGACCCCTACTATAGAAGAGCCTGTTATGGTGCTTCTAATTACTGTACTCACTTCAATCCTTTGCCTATAATCAAAACGTGCTTTCTGTACCTACTTTGACTTCACATTACGAGGAGCAAATCTACATGGCTTCTTCTGACAATGAAAGCCATCTCAGGTGATCCACAGATTCAATGCCACCTGAGTTAACTTGCGGACAAAGGTGTGATGACATGAGTATTCTGGGATAGAAAGGCCACATCGAAGAAATAAGGAAAGAGTTTTCCTTCTACACTTTGTATATGACTGTCAGAGTGCTATGAAAGCCCTGTAGTATCACATGAATTCCTAAAGAAAAAAAAATCTAGTCACCACTGTGATATTTTTGAAGAATTCTACATTTAGAGACCTACATATAACTAAGGGAATTTAGGCTCTGAGTAGCCTCTCAAGGGTCAGTTATTACCTGAATCAGAGAGAACTCATAAAAATTGGCATGGACCCAGCCAATTATTGAAGATACTATTCCTTTCCTGCTGGAACTGTCAACAATTCTATGTAGGTACCTAAAGAGAGTATCTTTATTGTTTGCTACATACAAGGAGCATTACCTGTTTTCACCAAATTCTTTAATTTAATGCCTTGTGGACATGGATATCCATGGGTAGATTCTTTAATACATTTACAAGAAGTTTTGTCCATGTTCTAATAAGCCAACTCATCCATGTTTAACATACTCCAAATTCCTTTCTTTAGCAGAAAATCATCTTCCTCAACTTTTGTTTTCTACATAAACATTGGTTTTCCTACAAGAAGCAACTACCTCTATATTAAGGCACAGCACAATTTATGTTGTCACTGTGACAGAAATCCCTGTTTGTTCCCTTGATCTCGGCTATGACTATACTCCACAGGAATAAGGTACTCAAGTCCTTCAACTGAACCATAGGGAAGGTGCCTGAGAGCTGAGACTCTTAGGATTGTCATGGTCTTTGGTCCTCTGCCCCACTTCATTTCTCCACTGGTGCTGAAAATGGACATTAAGATTTGTCAAAAACGTAAAAGCATCTTCAAGTGTCATTCCTCCTGACTCTACCTTTGGCAAGTCTCCAAAGTTTTGACCCTTAGCAAAGGTACAATTACATATCCCTGCCACTCTTAGGGTTTAAAGAGAGAATGGCCCAGGGGTATGCAATTGACTAAATGTTCTCTGTAAGTCTTGCCCTTGTGCAGGGGGTAAGGTCTAGTTATATGGTAACACATGCAGTGTTATTGTGAGCTCTCAGGGTACCCAGAGAAGGCAGATGAAAAGGGCATCAGCTAAATTGTCCCACCTACTCTAGTGCACCCAGTTCAGGGTCTTTACATTTGTTTTCCACTTATATTGAGACAATATTTTCCAAAGAATTACTACTGATGACTGAATTATTTAGGTTTCACACTACTAAAACACATAAAAGGTGAGGTGAAAAACACTGGGTTAATTCTTCTTCTTAGCTTTGCGCCACTGTGATTTTGGAATTCCTTGGGACACAATTTGTTCATATTGTTAATATATATTGCAGTTATATAAAAATATGCTATAAATCTATAAAACTTGGTGTCTTCCAAAATCAGATGTCATTAGATTAATACTGAAATTGCCTCTGAGATTTTTCAAGTCTATTAAGTGATCTGATGTCAGTGAGTGGTCAATTCTGACTCTATGCTGAGCTTTTTTCCCCTTGATCATTTCTAGATTGTTTATGGAATGTATTCTAAATATTCTGAAATAGTCTGTAACATTCTTTGGATTGTACTCAAAATTTTTATTTGTTTTGCCTTGCTGACTATTTTCAGAGAATTAGGCCTAATCTGTGCATCTCCAAAATATGCTGGGATCATTTCTAGTAATCTAAGCAGTTCCATTGTCCCCTGAGATGGTTCATTATCAATTTCACCACAGATATAGAAGCAGGAAGTTCTCTTTTATTAGGACAGTTAATACCAAGGAATCAGCACTCTTTGCCACTTCAGAGGGTAAGTCTTAAATTTTATAGTGGGATTAAGATTCTTATTTCCTATTTTCTTCATTGGTAAAACTATCCATTTATTCAAGCTACAAGACTTTATGATTAAGGTTTTAGGATTGTTAGAGTGAAAGGCAAGACCACCTCAAATCATCTTAAAGGGGCACATAAACTTAAGGAAGTTGGAAGATACTATAATTTCTGAATAAACTCTTGATTCATAAGCCAACATTAGTCATCTCTAATCCCAAGTAGTAATGGGCTGCAGCTAGGGGATCAGAACAGGTAAAATATTAAAAATATTAAAAAGTATGTGTTGGATATTGAAATTTTTGAGAGTAGTAAAATGTATACATAAGTAAAGTCTAAGTGTCACTTAAGGATTTTCTGTTATGATATTTTTGAAGAGTAACTTTCTAGGACTTTGCAAAATTCAGAAATACTAAATTCTTAAAATTTCAATTGTCCTACAATGACTGAACCAAGTATTAGAATGCAAAAACAGGCATCCAGAACATAAAAAGGACGGGAAAATTAAATGTTATCACAGACCTACTTGTTACCTAATTAAATTTTTGACTTGATTAATGTCAGATGAGAGAATAAAAGACTACATATTCACTTCTGAATAAATGTTCGAAACACTTACAAAGGCACATCTCACTTTCCACTTCCAATGAAATTATTTTGTGAGAAATTTACCTCTAAGAAATAGTATAATGAAAAGACTTAATGCTTTTTCTCCATTCTCCCAATATTATTCTGGTTTAAGTATCTCTGGAAAAACTAAAGTCTGACAGGTTGGACTTTATGATGATTTTTCTCATTTAAAAACATTCTCTAGTAAAGAACTATATTCTTTACTGTCTTTTAGGTAAAAGTTTATCTCCAAGAATTTCCTTTGAGAAAAACACTTTCCAACTACCCTATAATGTTTTATCTTACCTTAACGATGGAGAAATATTTATACAGTAATTGTATAGTTATGAATCAATCAGTAATTTGACTTTAGAGAAGCCAGCAAATCATAAGACTATAAACAGCAACTTAAAACAAAAATTGATTTGAAAGAACTTCAGGTATTTTAATCTATTTCTTAATAAGAGCCATGTGGATTCCATTTGGCTTAACAGACGTGTAATATGGCACTTACATTCTCATATTAACCTATTTGGGAACACCTAGCCATTGTTCTGGCAAAATAAAGCAAAATGGAATAACATAAACCCTACTATAGCATATATTTCTGACAATGAAACATTCCAAGAAGAGTTAAGTACAAAAAACTCTAATCATCTGCTAAAGATACGATTCAGTTTTCACTAGTGTTATTCAAAAGATGTGTCACTTAACCCTGTATTACTTTAAATGTTTCTCAACCTGAGTACTACAAACATTTTGGCCTGGATACAAGTCTTTGTTGTGGGGGCCGTCCTATGCAGTGTAGGATGTTCAGCAAAATCCTTAACCTCTACCAACTAAATGCTAGTAACACTCACCCACCTGTGACAAGAAGAAACGCCTCCAGACATTCCTTAATGTTCTCTGGGGGAATGAATCACTACCTGCTAAGAACCACTGTTTAACAGTATATCACATTTTCTACCTTTTTCACTCAACAGCTAATCAACTCTATGTATCCCCCAAAATTCTGAAGGAAGTACGCAGACTAATAAAAAATATTATTTTTAATTATTGAAGGCTTAACCTAAGGCATCATACTGACATCTACTGGCTTGGTACTAAACTGTATATGTGACACATATTGCAGAAAACCCCTCAAAATTAAAAGTAAAAGAGCACTATTCTGAGAAAGTAGAATAATTCATTGAAAGCAGTAACATTAACATCAGAACTATATTAGTTCTATGTAGAGCCTAACAAATAATAACAATGGTAACTGTCCACTGCACTGTCTTTTGGAAGAACAGAATTTTTGATGAATACTTTTGACACTAATAATGAGAGGGGATTTTTTTTGACAAGAGAAAAAAAATGTCTGGGTCAAAAAACTTGCAAACCTTTTTAGCAGCATGAGATTTTGATTTATACTGAAAATTTAAAAAGACTAAAAAAAATTTTTTTAAATCCTAATAATAATTCCATAAATGAAATTACTACAATTTTCTAGGTATTTTAATAAAAGACATTTGGTAATTAAATACTATTGTCAATTAAACTGATGAACTTTATTGGGGTTAAAACTATAACAAAGTTCATCCTAAAACATTTTGCAATGCAAAATTATTTCACTCAAGGAGTGTTTTATAATTTCAATGCCAGGAATTACAAGCAATTTTCAAAAGCAGAGACTCTCACATTCATAAAACTTTATACATCATTTGAACTAACAGATATTTATACTACTAAAATCAAACATGCATCACTTTCAAACATTCTTGTATCATGATTTTTTTATATTACATTATTTAACACCATTCCTCATCACTACGTGTATTATACACTTGCGCCATTCTCCTTGGATTTCTGATCTTTATTGTCACTCTTCACATTATCCTATAAAATAACAGACAAGAAAAAGTATATTTTATTAGATTTTCTTAAAGGTAACTGTAAAAAGTAATAAACATTAGTAAATAAAATACTCTAGATAGATTGTTTTACCATTTATGGAAAACTGACTCTGGGAGCAATTATGAAAAAAATCTCTCTCAATTCTATCAGAACAGCTTCTAGTACTTGAGAAAACCATCTGGGTCCTGAGAAATTAAGAGGTTATTATAACAGTATATTCCTTGCACTGTAGATTTTTTTTCTTCTTGTTCTGAGT